AAGCATGAGGAAAAAATAATTTAGGTTATAAATTATTCTTAAAAAAAGAACAATTCTAATATTTTTCCACAATATTATTACAGTGTTTGAATATGTATTTTTTACATCCTTTTTGATTGTAGAACACCAGATACTAGCTATAAATTGAACAACACATTATTTCCGAGGCTTGTTTTTATGTTCAGAGGAAGCAGAGAGCACATATGTTTGTGTTGATTTGTATTTACTGGGAAAAGTAAATCCTCTGTGTGATTTAAAGGATTAGCAACCATTGAAAATTAAAGCACTTATTTATAAAGTGCTTTCATTTCTAATCAAAACCATGTAACCCTCTCTGGAAAGACTGTTATTGGTTGCTTGGTCCGTGTGTTGAAAGAAAGGGTTTCTCAGTTATGGTGCCTGATATGCTTCCATATAGTGACGTTTCACATTTGTATCTACTCCCTTATCACTTTGCCTGCAGCTCCTTCATGAGCCAACAGCATCGGTTATATAGCAGTGTTTGAAAGACTGAATGTGAAAACCTAGTTGTATTTGAACATACTTGTACTGGCAGCCTTCTCCCTAGTGCGGATTCATCATATGTTCACTTTTGAAAAAATAGTTTGCATTGTGTTAAAGGGCTTATCTTTTTTTTTTACAAAATCTCAAGCCTTATTTAGATTATGCTTTTACTATGTATTGCACGAATGTGCAACAACAAGATGCTTGTATTTAATCCTCTTACTGAAGATTGGAGGACTAGTTTATAGGGTGTTTTGTCTCTCCTTTTGTTCAGTCATGGTGCAGCTATGACATAGGGTCTTCTTCTAAGATGGAAAATAACTTTTACTCTAATTGGGCATCACGCAGACATACAGTCAGGTCCATAAATATTGGGACATCGACACAATTCTAACATTTTTGGCTCTATACACCACCACAATGGATTTGAAATGAAATAAACAAGATGTGCTTTAACTGCAGACTGCCAGCTTTAATTTGAGGGTATTTACATCCAAATCAGGTGAACGGTGTAGGAATTACAACAGTTTGCATATGTGCCTCCCACTTGTTAAGGGACCAAAAGTAATGGGATAATTAGCTTCTCAGCTGTTCCATGGCCAGGTGTGTGTTATTCCCTCATTATCCCAATTACAATGAGCAGATAAAAGGTCCAGAGTTCATTTCAAGTGTGCTATTTGCATTTGGAATCTGTTGCTGTCAACTCTCAAGATGAGATCCAAAGAGCTGTCACTATCAGTGAAGCAAGCCATCATTAGGCTGAAAAAACAAAACAAACCCATCAGAGAGATAGCAAAAACATTAGGCATGGCCAAAACAACTGTTTGGAACGTTCTTAAAAAGAAGGAATGCACCGGTGAGCTGAGCAACAACAAAAGACCCAGAAGACCACGGAAAACAACTGTGGTGGATGACCGAAGAATTCTATGCCTGGTGAAGAAAACGCCCTTCACAACAGTTGGCCAGATCAAGAACACTCTCCAGGAGGTAGGTGTATGTGTGTAAAAGTCAACAATCAAGAGAAGACTCACCAGAGTGAATACAGAGGGTTCACCACAAGTTGTAAACCATTGGTGAGCCTCAAAAACAGGAAGGCCAGATTAGAGTTTGCCAAACGGCATCTAAAAAAGCCTTCACAGTTCTGGAACAACATCCTATGGACAGATGAGGCCAAGATCAACTTGTACCAGAGTGATGGGAAGAGAAGAGTATGGAGAAGGAAAGGAACTGCTCATGATCCTAAGCATACCGCCTCATCAGTGAAGCATGGTGGTGGTAGTGTCATGGCGTGGGCATGTATGGCTGCCAATGGAACTGGTTCTCTTGTATTTATTGATGATGTGACTGCTGACAAAAGCAGCAAGATGAATTCTGAAGTGTTTCGGGCAATATTATCTGCTCATATTCAGCCAAATGCTTCACAACTCATTGGACGCCGCTTCACAGTGCAGATGGACAATGACCCAAAGCATACTACAAAAGCAACCAAAGAGTTTTTTAAGGGAAAGAAGTGGAATGTTATGCAATGGCCAAGTCAATCACCTGACCTGAATCCGATTGAGCATGCATTTCACTTGCTGAAGACAAAACTGAAGGGAATATGCCCCAAGAACAAGCAGGAACTGAAGACAGTTGCAGTAGAGGCCTGGCAGAACATCACCAGGAATGAAACCCAGCATCTGGTGATGTCTATGCGTTCCAGACTTCAGGCTGTAATTGACTGCAAAGGATTTGCAACCAAGTATTTAAAAAGTGACAGTTTGATTTATGATTATTATTTTGTCCCATTACTTTTGGTCCCTTAACAAGTGGGAGGCACATATGCAAACTGTTGTAATTCCTACACCGTTCACCTGATTTGGATGTAAATACCCTCAAATTAAAGCTGACAGTCTGCAGTTAAAGCACATCTTGTTCGTTTCATTTCAAATCCATTGTGGTGGTGTATAGAGCCAAAAATGTTAGAATTGTGTCGATGTCCCAATATTTATGGACCTGACTGTATATAGTACATAATGAATGCAGAGTTCTCTGATGTGTGGATAATTGTTCAAAAATCCAGACAATTGTGATTTTGCACAGAACCCCATGCTTCAGGGCATAGCTTGTCCCAGAGTATCTGCACATGTCTTGGTGAAGATTGGGTGCTGCCATAGAGTGGTAGTTTCCATCAGTACTTTGGCTTTGAACCCTCAGACTACTATTATTGTTAGTTCCTCATGCCAGTCCTCCTCTTCAAGCCACACATGCATCAAGTTGTGTGAACTTATTTTAGCTGCAACATAGTTAAGGAGGCGGTAACTGCCGGTAGACCACATAATATAAATATAAGCTTTGATTTATCAGGTGTTTGCAGAATCAAATGAGGGCTACGTTGTGCAGAAAATAAGGGAAGAGTGTTTGTGCAATCCCAAAGTTGTGCTGTGATTCCATCACACTTGGAGATTTAAAGATCTCCACCCATCTGCGCTAATGAGAATACTGGGTAGTTACTTAAAGGGTCAGTTCCACTCATTTACTTCCAGGCTGCCCTGGAACAATCAATGAGGGAAAAGGATCTGGAGGTGTTTGTAGATCCTAGACTTAGCAATAGCATAAAATGGCAAGCCACAGCTAGCAAAATACTGTCTTGCATTAATAAGGACATACATTGACGAGATAAATAAAACATTCTTCCGCTATGTAAAACACTGGTTCTACCTCATCTTTAATAAGAAATTCAGCTTTGGTCAGACAAGACATTGTTGAATTAGGGTTCAGCGAAGGGCTATAAAATTAACAAAAGGGGGGTGGAGGACCTGAGCTACGAGGATCGATTACATATAGATTACAGTTATTCAGTTTGGAGAAGAGGCACTTAAGAGGGGATATGAGTACAAATATATCAAAGGTAACTCCAGTAAATATAATAAACAATTTAGTCTAAGGTCCCAGAAGTGGACACATGGCCACGATTTAAGTTTAGAAGAAACGGGTTTGACCATAGGTTGTGGAAAAGGTTCTTTATTGTTGGAAGAATGTGGAACTCCCTCACCAGAAAGTGTTACTAGCTGGAAATGTCAACAACTTCAAAAAACTTTTACAGGGCTATAGGAATTGTTAAAGAATAAAAATCTCACACACGGGTGTAACTGCATGAACCTGTGTCTTTTTTTCAACCTTATTAACTATGTAACAATTGTAACCGAATTTACAATCTGATAATTGCTGATACTGTTAATTGCTTTTTCTTGGACCAATTTAAAATGTCCTGGACTTGAAGTGGTTAAAGCAAGCTCATGATTGCAGCTGCAAACCTTAGCTTGGTGTAATTTTTGTCACTTAGCGAATTGGTTGTTTAGCAAAAGCGATCCAGGTGGCTCTACAGCCTCCCAATCACTGTTACAGTGGTGAGAAGAGATTTCCCCCCTTGAACTCTTTGGTAGCTCCAGAGATATTGGCACAAACGTCAGAGTGAGAGCAATAATTCTAGGACCATAATTCATGGTAACCCTGAACTGATCATTTGTAAAGACTTTCAAAATTTTGCCTATTAAAAATTTTAGGTTTTATAATGTTTTGACATTTCATGCATCCACACAACTTTTGAGTCTTGATGTGTGTTTTGTATTTTTTTACTCGCTCCAAAATGGGTATTCTACCATGTTTTGTGTGTATTAAAATTCATTTTATTGTATTTTTTTCTTTTAAAATACTGATAAACAGCTGCGGAAGCATTGTGTGACATACAAAATTGCAATTGCCAAAATTGTATTCTACAGAGCTTCTGCTTTTAGAAAATATACAATGTGTGGTGGTCGTAAGTAATTTTCTAGGAAAGAATACTGATTTTGACATGTGTGAAACATTTAAAAATTGTCCAGGATGCAAAGTGGTTAATTTGGCAAGCAGACTGACCTGTAAAATTCATTATGTCATTGCCTTGTCAACAGCTGTGTCCTGGGTCAGGTTAGACAGCATCCCAGAATTTCAAAATGTCATGTAGTACAGTGTCTTCTACCAGGACAAAGTGTAAGTGAAATCAAGTATATATGTTTACATGACATTTATTTCTAAAAACATCATTTCAGTCCCATACATTCAACAGCTACATATTTTGGATCAAAGGCTCCGGGTTTTTTTGTATATTTTTATGCCATCCCCCTAAATTCTAAATGTGACCACTTGAGCAGAATCTTGCTAACCACTTGTCGTCCTGAGGATTTACCACCCTTCCTGACCAGGTCATTTTTTTGCATTGCAGCACTGCGTTACTTTCACTGACAATTGTGTGGTCATGCAACGCACCCAAATTAAATTTTGCGTCTTTTTTTTTTTACCACGAATTGAGCTTTCTTTCAGTGGTATTTGATCGCCTGTGCATTTTTTGCGCTATAAAAAAAAGAGAGACCGACATGTCCAATAAAAAAAAAAATTAAAAATCACATTTCATCATAAATTTATGCCAAAATGTATTCTGCTACATGTCTTTGCGAAAAAAAAAATCCCAATACATGTAAATGAATTGGTTTACTGAAAGTTATAGCGTTTACAAATGGTGGTGTGTATATATAACGGTCGTAAAGGTGGTGGGGTTGGTCTTCTCCTGCCACCGCAGAGCACCTTCCGAGTTCTCCCAAACCCCCCCTCCCTATCCTTCTCCTCCTTCGAGGCCCACTGCGTCCCACTATTCTCCCCAACCCCCCCTGAAGATTGCTGTGATATACCGGCCTCCTGGATCCATACCCCGCTTCCTGGATGACTTTACCTCCTGGCTACCCTTCTTCCTCTCCTCTGAGCTACCCACCATCATCCTTGGGGATTTCAACATCCCTGTCAACCTTGACAACCCGGACACATCCCATCTCCTCCACTTAACCTCCTCCTTTGCACTTGCACAGTGCATACAATCCACCACCCACTCCAACAGTAATATTCTTGATCTTGTCTTTTCCAACCGCTGCGCTCCCCACAACCTCACTATCACCCCCTTTCCTCTCTCTGACCACAACCTGATTACCTTCTCTATCTCCTCGTCCTCCAACGCCTACCCCTCCAAATGTCACACCAGCCGTAACCTCCGCAACCTTAACCCTGCCCCCATCCACTCTGCAGCTGATCAACTCTATGACAGCATCCTCCCCCTGTCCTGCCCCCGACTTGGCTATGACTGCCTACAACAACGCGCTGTCAACAGCCCTTGACTCACTAGCGCCTTTAACCACACGCAACATCAGACCCCGACCCCTCCAGCCCTGGCAGACTGATCACACCAAAACCCTCAAACGACACAGTCGTGCTCTGGAGCGACTATGGCGCAAAACAAAATCCGAAAAAGCCTTCACCCGCTACAAATCTGCCTTCCACAACTACACCTCCTCCCTCCACGCAGCCAAACAAGCTTACTTCCTGACCCTCATCAAGACCCTCTCCTCCAATCCTTGCCGACTCTTCTCCACCTTCAACTCTCTACTCTCTCCACCCCCACCTCCACCCAGCACCTCACTCACCGCCCTTGAGATTGCCAATCACTTCAAAAACAAGATTGACACAATTCGCAAGGACATTGCCGCAACTCACACACCCTCTCAACCTGTCCCCTCTCACACAGCTACCCCCTCATCCCCCCCCCCCTCGACATAACCCGCAGGGACTTCGTTGCTGCTCAAACTCCCTCCAACCCCGTTGCCCCACCACTGCTCTGACCTCCACTTCCACCCCACCCTACATTCCTCATACTGAAGCTCCCCCAACACTCCGCACCTTTGACCTTACTACCATCGAGGAAGTCTCCAAGATCCTCTCTGATGCCCCGCCTCACCACCTGCCCCCTCGACCCTATCCCCTCACAACTCCTACGACATCCCTCCCTCTCCATCCTACGCTCCCTCACCTACATCTCCAATCTCTCCCTCTCCTCAAGCACTTTCCCCTCCCCTCTGAAACATGCACACATCACCCCCATACTTAAAAAGCCCTCCCTGGACCCCAATGACCCGAACAACCTCAGACCCATCTCCCTGCAATCATTTTACATCTAAACTCCTCGAGCGCCTCGTCTACACCCGCCTATGCTCTCACCTCAACGACAACCACCTCCTCGATCCCCTACAGTCTGGCTTCCGTCCCCCTACACTCAACCGAAACCGCCTTACTCAAACTCTCCAACGACCTTCTAACTGCCAAAGCTAATGGCCACTATTCAGTGCTCAAACTCCTTGACCTCTCTGCGGCCTTCGACACAGTCGACCACCCCCTCCTCAAAAAAAAAAAAACTACACTCCCTCGGCCTCAGATTCTGCTTTCTCCTGGCTCTCATCCTACCTATCACATTGCTCCTTCAGCGTTACCAATAATGCTACCACCTCCTCCTCTCTGTTGGGGTCCCTCAAGGCTCTGTCCTCGGGCCCCTTCTCTTCTCCATCTACACCTCCTCCCTTGGCCAACTCATACACTCTCACGGCTTCAACTACCACCTCTATGCCGACGACACACAAATCTATCTCAACCCCCCCACCTCACCCCCTCAGTCTCTGCCCGAATCACACACCTACTGAGCGACATATCAGACTGGATGTCGCTCCACTTCCTTAAACTGAACCTCTCCAAAACCGAGTTTCTTGTCTTCCCCCCCCAGCCCGGACACCCCCCCCCCCCCCCCCCATTGACTTCTCCATCACATCCAACAACGCCACCATCAAACCCCACCCTGCAGGCCAGAGTACTTGGGTGTCATTCTGGACTCCAACCTATCCTTCCAGCCCCAAGTCCAATCTTTAACAAACTCGTGCAGACTCCACCGCTGCAACAATGCCAAAATACGCCCGTTCCTAACCCCAGAAAACACTAAACAGCTCATCCACTCCCTCATCATATCACGACTCGACTACTACAACTCCCTCCTCACTGGCCTGCCTCGCCGCTGGCTATCCCCGCTTCAGTCGGTCCTGAATACGGCTGCCAGACTCATTCACCTTTCCAACTGCTCCGTTTCCGCCACCCCCCCTCTGCCAATCCCTCCAGTGGCTTCCGATTGCGCAACGGATCAAATTCAAAATCCTAACACGGACGTACAAAGCTGTCCACCATACTGCTCCGAACTACATCACTGACCTAATATGCAAGTACCGCCCAGCATGCACACTCCGCTCCTCACAAGACCTCCTACTCTCTAGTTCCCTGGTCTCCTCCTCCCATGCCCACCTCCAGGACTTCTCCAGGGTGTCACCCATCCTCTGGAACTCCCTGCCCCAACCCATCAGATTATCACCTACTCTCCTCTCCTTTAGGCACACACTGAAAACCCATCTCTTCAGGGAAGCCTATGCCACCCCCTGCTAACTTGCCGACCTCCTCCACTCTTCCTACCACTTCATCCCCCACAGCTATCTCCTCCTGTACCACTATCCCCTCCCTCCTAGATTGTAAGCTCGAAAGAGCAGGGCCCTCGATCCCCTCATGTTTTGCATGGTATTGGTATTCTGTCACATGTTCTGTCCCCCTTTGTAATGTACAGCGCTGAGCGAACTATTGGCGCTTTATAAATACTGTATAATATATATATATTCTTATTTTTTATTTTTACTAGTAATGGTGGCAATGAGCGACTTATAGCAGGACTGCGGCGGGCATTCTGACACTGGGGGGAACTGACTTGGTGTCACTGACATCCCCAGTGACACCAATACAGTGATCAGTCCTAAAAAAAGCACTGACATTGTACTAATGACACTGGGCAGGAAGGGGTTAACATGAGGGGTGATCAAAGGGTTAACTGTGTGCTGTTTTACACATAGTGCTGTGTCCATGTGCTTCACTGTAAGCATGCTGCTTTGCATGGCTGTGCTGTGCACAGCTATCCAAATACTTATTTCCTTCACTGTACATAGGTTTTGTTGTGTAATGCTCCTTATATTTCTTTGTAGGTGCATTTGAATATTAATATATACTTTGGATTGAAAGTTTTTACACTTTATACTGTTTTAGAACAGCAAACTGTACAAAATTTATATAATTAAAGTTCTTTGCCATACAGCGATCTTTGTGAGGATGCTGCTCTTAGAAGTTACTTTGCCCATCTGTCTGCTTAGTAACTTTCTGAAACTTGGAATCAGATAACAGACAGCTGATGTCTGCACTTTCCAAATTCAAAAAACCTGCTTCAGCTTTAATATTTGGCAGGTAGGTGAAATAATAAGGGGACTTTATTACATATAGTGCATCGATCTTGTCTTGTGGACTATGATTACATTTGATTAAAATTCTCTAAAAAAAACACAAATAGACATTCCAAAAGAGTACTATTTAAGGGAAAAATAAAGATATTTGATCCACCATAAAAACTTTTTTACTATGGATTGTAAAAAACACAATTTAGACTTCCAGACATGATAGAATATAGAAATAAGGCAATAAATTAAAACTAAACATTTGCTGAGAAAACAACAATACTCTTGAAATCAGTTCTAAACATTGCAAGTATTTTAGTTAGCAGAGGGGCATAAGCAAGGAGGTACGTGGACTTTCTTTGTTGAGCATATGTCCCTGTATGTATACAGCCCTGTACATTATTATCACTCAAGACAGCAATGGGCTGTAGGCTCGGGTGCCCAAAAAATGCCCAGGTGGATAAGGTTTTAGGCCTGTAGATTGAAACAATAGCAGAACAAAGGCACAGTGGGTAAAAAGCCTTTATGTGATGGTGTAAGCCAGCAATTGACACGTTTGCTTTGAATCTAGGAGCCGGCTAAAAATGTTAGGGGCCTTTTTTTCTAAATTTAGCTGCCTGGTGCCCAGAACTGCGTGTCAGAAAGAAATAAAAAATAAAGAAAGGAACCGTGTGGGCGGGCAGGGATGACACATTGAAAGTGTAGGTCCACCGTTACAGAAAATCTGTCCCTGCACTGGACCCCCCCACCATCAGTGTCCCGCTGCATCCTCTCCTCCCAGCACTGACAGGATGGGCTAGATGGGTTTTGTTTGGTCAGTGCTGTCCATGTGACGGTGCTGACCAGTTACAATGCCTCTTTTCCGTATGCTGAGAGGTACGGATAGGAGATTAAGCCATGGGGCTAACAAATCTCTGGATCAGTGAAGTGGCATTCCGGTACCTGACAGTGGATGGCTGCCAAAATCTCAGGCGCCAGGATGCAATTTCTAGTCGCCATAGCGACCTGGTGCCTAAGATTTATCAAGCCCTGGTGTAAACATCTATGAGATATATTGGTCTGAAAAATGTATAATCTGGTATATTGTAGGGCAGTATGGTTTGTTAATATAGTTTTTAACTCAAAACGTTTTGACTAGAGTTGTCTTTTAAAGTGTCGTCAAACCAACAGCCACCAATTTGCAAGTATAATTGAGCAATACACCGGTAAGCAACTGTACGCGAAACACATTGAAATTCTGAATACCCTGCTTACTTCTGCATATACCGCTGTCACATGATACTATTTAATTTGCCTATCTCTGCACTTCTAGATCAGTGGGTTGAGCAAGCAGGAAACCTATAACTCTTCCTGCAGCTGTCACTGCAGGAAGTTTTCATTAACTTATAATAGCTGCGCAGAACGGATTGGCGCTGTTGCAGTCATGTGGGTTAATAAACAAATAAACAAAATTGTAATTTTATTACAAAATAACAAATAAACATTGTAGCCATTAATCACCATCTAAAATATTAGCTGTAATATAAAATGAAAATGCATTGCGAAGAACAGGGAGAGCTGATATCATTCAGACAACTGGCGTCACTCTGCAAGCAGATGAAAAAGTCATGTGGGGGGAAGGAAAAAGAAAAAATTTTGGAAATGAATGGCTTTGCAACTGGTGGAGCATGCGTACTGTGAATGGCAATACACCAGCCAGAGGATCGGCTGCTATTGCATTGCAGCTACCAATAGAGAGGTCTATGGAAATGTCAGTATGAACCAGGTATTTACAAAAAATTGAAAGATGCAAGATGTAAAGGTAAAACACACAGGGGACATAATTATAAAAAATAATAACACAGAAAATAATTAGTTTAATGACCATATTTTTATTTACATATAGAGTTTCTGCATACACAGAAACACTAATCACAAGATAAATGTTTAATACTGAGAGAATTTTGGACAAAATTATTATTTTCCCATGCAGTGGGGCTGTGCTTGCACTGCATGGGTTAGATGCTCGTTTTTGTCTAGGGGCTCAAAAAGCAAAGATATCCGCCGATCCTCCAAGCGCAAGACCGTTTCCCACCGCTCTCTTGTGAATGGTCTGTTCCTAACATCACATCCATAGACCAGCTCAGGGCGTAAGGACGGCGGGAACAGTCCACCAATGGATGTGGGGGAGTGCGGTTTTCCAGATGATCGGAGAAATGGGTAAGTTCAGATTTTCCCTGAGCTCCTGGACAAAACAAACACTTAACCCATGCAGTGCAGTAGCAGCCCCACTGCATGGGAAAAGAAATGTTATGAGAGGAGTTTTGCATTAACAAAGACTCTGAAAGCAGTGTTGATTCTCCAAAAAGAGAAGACTGGTAATTATCTTTTTTAAGACACCAGAAATGGAGGTACAGTAAGCCTCTCTTCTGACTCATTCACGTGTGTGTACATTATCAGAGTTATTGAGCCCTGTAAACAGGATTTTTACAGCGGAAACTAAGTACATACTAAAAACACACGGAGTGAGGCCCAAAGCTTCCTTGACTTACTTTTCAAGCTGTAGCAGAAGTGTGAACCAGATTTTGATAAACCGCAATATAGGACTGAGGAATAGTTAGCCACTGCTGGGTTTCTTCAGCCTCTCCTAGGTCAGTCTTATCAGAGCAACAACCCTTGCATCTGCACCACTGCATTTATTCTATTGCCTTTGTAAAAGTGTCTTAGAACTTTGGTATATTCTTGTGTATACCATATTAATTAGGAAAATCAGATTTATTATCTTTAGAAAGCTCATTATAAGATGATGCAGTACATGGCTGGACTTTGCTCCCAACCCAGCATTGAGGTTTGTGTTGCCACAGTTTCATATATTTATAGTTTGTGGAATAACTTTTCTGATGAATAAGGCTGACTTTTAGCAAACAGCAAGTACTTTAATTAGGGAGAAGGGCATTTTTCTATCAACTAATTATGAAGAGAGGCCATACAAAATATTCGAAACCTTTTTATATAGTGACCCGGAGTTCTGTTCATTTAATTTTCAACAAACAGTTTGAACCTTTGATGTTGCTGAGAGGCTGGTTTCCTCTTCATTCTGGCTGTAAGCATCAGAAGAGAATGACATCAGACGGACAAAATCACATTGTAATGTGACGGAAAAAGAATAAAGGAATACACTGAATGGATCATTATAAAGAAATGGCATAAACATACATCCAAGACGTATAGCAGAGAAAGAAATGACAGCCCATACTGCTTTGAGATTAACAAGATCATAACATTAGAAGACATCAAAACATATTGACCATAAAGACCAGCCTTCGGGAGCAATTTAAAATAATTTAATGAACTTCTGATTCTATCCAGGAAATAATGCAGACATGGTAAAGTAAAATTATTTACCGTATTTTAAGTTTTATATCCTTTATAATTTATGTATAAAAAGTGCAATATAAACATAAAATTAACATTTACATTAAAAACAATCCATATGTTTAAAAAACCATAACCAAAAAGGGCAAACAAAGGCGTAAAGTCCCAAATGTCTATGCACAAAAAAAGTGTGTGTGTGTGTGTGTGTATGTATATATATCTATATCTCATAAATCCCAAAAATTGTGTTCATCAACAATATTATTCCAACATGTCAAAAATGCAAAGAACCTTTACACACTTCATGAACACCTCATGCAGACATGAAGTACCTTACCAAAAAGTATGTGACCATGTGTAGGGAAATGGTCATATAGGACATATAGAGCATACAGCCATCTTGCTTCCAAGAGTCTTCCCATCAAGCACTCCAACTCAGATAAAGCGGTGGCACATGAAAGGAGAAAGCTCTCATAGGGTAGTAAAAAATGACTTTTAAAGTTATTAAAATCAGTTGCGCATTCACATTGCTAAGTGACAAGGAGATAGTACGAGGCTACATCAATACCATCTGAACAGCCACTGTCTCATTCTGTTAGGCTGCTTCCGGTATTGGCGTGTGTGGTGACCTCACTTCCATTGGTCTGACCCCGATGCGGTTTGTTAGAGCTGATGGTATCAGGGGAGTGGCCAGTTAGGAGACTCCTTATGGTGCATATTATTTATATAGTGATAAAGTAGAAGAAAATGACTGGAAATAAGAGACAAACAAGTGGCAAAACATATAATGCAAAAGGGAAAGAGAAAAACAAGGCATTAAGACATAAAGGAGCTAACATATTACATATTAAATAATAAAAAGTAAGGCATATAAAATATAAAAAAAAATAAAAAAAAGAGACAGAAAAAAGGCTGATCAGATGTTCACAGAATTTTTTTTTTATATATATTCAAACATTATTTAAAATTCCACAAAATTCGTTCATAACAGCAAAAAGGATTTAAAAAACCTGAAAAAAATATAATTTTTTTTTTACAGACAGCCTAAGGGGGAGAAGACAAAGAGAGAGTGGGAGTAAACTATTGTTGATAAAGCAATTGACATCCCAATCAACATTCAGACCATACGGCCTGTATGTTTTGAGTTCATAGATCCAACGGGTCTCTAACTTTGATATTTCTCTTCTAATAAAACTTCCCTTCCAGTTGGGTGTATAATTGTCAATGACCATGAACAAAGTCCCTGTGGGGTCCCTATTGT